CGCGGCGATAACTAACCCCCTTGGAACGAGCACCCCTCCAGCACCTTCCCCCGCCCCGCCGCCCGCCAGGGCACCTCCAAGGGGCCAGAAAAACACTCCAACAATTAATTTTTTTTTTTTTGGAACTCAGGGCCTGGAGCGCAAGGGGCCTTGTCGACCGGGACGCGGCCGGCTGTAGCGCGGCCCCTTGGGTTCCCTGTGGGAACAGTGTCCCGACGGACCTGGGCAGTGGTCCAGGATCGGGAGCATCCCCAGTGTTCCCCAGCCACCAGCGCTGCAGCTTTCTTGTTAAAAAAGCGCCATAACCCTCGGGCAGGCCTCTCCGTGAGGGCGGAGGGCTCGAATCGCCGAACCCCGCAAGAGCATCCCTCCCYGGCCCGCTCCTCCCGCACAGGTACTCACATGGCAGCGTGCCGGGAACGGAGCCGGGCATGGCCGTGGGGGCATGGAGCTGTGCTCAGACCATCCAGGGCAATCCCAGGWAGATAAAAATARTAATAATAAAAAATACAATAAAGTTCGCGGGGGAGGGAGGGAGGAGAAAAAAACAAACCGGCAGGACCCCCTGTCAGAGCGGGGCTGCCCTCCCYCGCTGTCCCCCCTCTCGCCGCCCCGTCTCCCGTGGGTGCGTCCCTGGCTGCGCCCGGCGGGGAAGTGGCGGCGGCGGTGGCGGCTCCGGCTCTTTACGGCGGCCCCGGTGCGGGCCGGCCCACGTGACGGCCGGCGGGGCAGCCCCGGTCCCGGCCGGGATTGGGCGCCTCCCGGCTCGGGGGGACGGGATAAATCCCGCCGGCTCCGCTCCCGGCGGGGGGGACGCGCCCGCAGCCTGCCCCCGGCGCGGGGCCGGGCGGAGCGGGGCAGGATGCGGCCCCCAGTGCCCCCCGCACCGCCCCGGGCCCGCCGGCCGCCCCCGAGGAGGGCTGGGGGTGTCCGCCCGCCCCCGGGGACGGCAGGGGGTGGCTCCCTCCCCGCTGCGTTTCTGGGGTTCGCTTCCACACCCCATCCGGAGGGGATGCCCCCCCGCCCCCGGGAGATGCTGGCGAACACACCGAAAACTTCCCGGCGGCGATTTGGTAGCAAAGAATGAGAGCGAGTGSTTTTCTGCTCCGGCTCAGTTTTGACATAAACCCCATCCTTACGGGGGAAGGGGCGTCTCAGCCTGGCTCCGACCCGCCCCGACTTTCCCTAGCGGCCCAGGGCCCGCCGAGTATGCGGCGATGCTCGCAGCCTGCCCGTTCCGGCCGTGCCCGGGCTCAGCGCGGGTTTGCCAYGTTCGGAGAGCAGCTCTCCGACCCCTCACCGTCCCGTCGAGGCTGCCCCGCTTCCAGGCGCTCTGCTCTTCCCCGGGGGCAGCAGCAGAGAGAAGGGTCCTCCTCCTTGCAGCCCYCCCGGCAGGGTCGCGCTGGCCTTGCGATGGGGACAAAAAAAACAAAAACCTTTCCCCGCTGTTCCCCGTCGGTGCGACCCGGGAAGGGACTTCAGAGGGGAAGGAGCTCCTAGCCCCAGCTTCCCGCTTACCCCGGGTAATTCAGCCGATTTAACTCTCCTCCAGCAAGGAAATAATTCCATCGTTACCGGGATTTATCCCCGGAAATTATTGCGCCTTTGCCCAAAGTCGCAGTGCCTCTCTCCCCTGCCGGGGAAACGGGCAAAAAGAAACACTCGGCGAATCTCGCCTGCCGCTCGTTCCATCTCCGGGTGGACAGAATTTTCTCTCCCGAAGGCCTCTACTGACTGGGTCGGGCCCCGCTGTGCCCCAGGACCCCTCCGGTTACTCAGCCCGGCGCTGCCCGCCCGTGCGGTCCCGGAGCCCGGGGGAGCCCGTCCAGCCTCCCCTCCGCAGGGACCAGCGCTGCGGGAAGGGTGGGAAATTTCAGCTCCAAAATAAACTGGTGCAGGAATGCCAGCTATTTCCCTCGGAATAATGCGACGCAACTGGCTGGAGATGTATTTATTTGCTCGCGAAAGCGGCCGTTTACGGCTCGCAGGGTATCCCTGTGTCCCTGTGCCCGCGGAGCAAAAGAAGAAAACAAAACCAAAACAAACTGCCCCCTCCCCTCCCAAACAAACAAAGAAAAAAACAAAACAAAGAAAAGGAGAAAAATAAGGGAAAAAAATCTTTTTAAAAAGCAGAGAAATATTTTTTTTTTAATGTGAAAAAAGCTATAGAAAAAGAAAATAAAAATCCGAGGAAGCCCCAACCCCGCGGCAACACGGATAAAAYCGTCCCTATAGAAAACCAACCTCAACCCCTTCGTTGCTGTGGCTGAGCCACCGCTGGAGTTTCCTTCGTTTCGTTTCGCGTGGGTTTCCAGATTTTACAATTTCAAGGTGTTACTTAAGTATAATTTATTATACATATATTTTTTAAAGTGCGTACGAACTGCCCTCTCCGATCTCTTCTGGCGTTCAAATAAATGTGAAAACATTGAARTAAACGAGGCGCTGCTAAACCCGCSGAGATGTACCCGGTGAGCGCGTTCACGGCGGAAGAAACCGCCGTGCGCGAAAACCTTCCCGCGGACCTGTGGCGTGTCTGTGGTCAGACCCATCCATCTGTTGGGGTTTTCTYTTGATTTTTTAAACTATTTTTTCARTGTWTTTRCTCCTCCTGTGGTGTCRGGCTGCCGGGCTCTCGCCCCRCCGAGGCCSCGGCGGGTCCAAGGAGCGGCTCCTCCCGCAGCAGCGCCCGCGGGCGCGGAGCAGCGCTGGGACAGGTGCCCCCACACCGGGGATTGCAGCACCCTCGGCCGCAGCCACTGCCGGACTGTCCCCATATTCCTGTCCCCAATGGACACCGGGCCGGGCTGGTGTCACCCACGCGTGAGGACTGCGGGTGGCTCTCCACGGTTTGGGGGGTTTGTAGAATTTTGGGTGTGATCGGTAACCGGGGGGCAGGCGGGGGTCCCTCTGTGAGGAAGGCCCGGGTGGGCGATGGTTTAGATGAAGGGGGAGGGCAGTGCCAGCGTGGCAGCGGTGGCAGTGGCGATGCCCCGTCCGCAGCTCTCGCTCTGCGCCCGGGGAAGTCACACCGGAGTGGGGGACACGGGGAGCCCGGACACTCCCGGTGCTCGCTGCCCCACCGAGGGCACCCCGACGTGGCGGCTGGACACGGCTGCCCAGCTCAGGGAGAGGGTTAGATACAAAAATCGTAACACGGCACCGGTGCGGGTGATGCCCGGACACCCCCATCCCTCTCTCCCATCCCCGTCAGGAGCTGGGRCCTCTCGGGAGAGGTGTCCTGGCGGTACCTCCGGGAGCTCTGACACCGCTGCACGGCCCTTGCTGGGCTCTCGGTCCGTTCGACGGGCTGAGCCGGACCCGGTCTGCTCTTCCCGGGGGGTGCGACCGCTTTTTTTGAGGGTGTTAGGAAGGGATCGATCTCTTCCTAAAGGTTTCCCGCACACCGCATCGCACCGTCCGGGCAGAGCGGGACTCCGGCTGAGTTCCAGAGGGGCCGGTGCGGCTCGACACGGCCCCGAGGGAGCTCTGACCCCTCCAGGTGAGGCTCCCCCGGGCCGGGACAGACTGCCCGGCGCCCCGGCCCCTCGGCCCTAATCCTGCTCCGGCTGATTTGTGAGTCCTGCGCGGGGCGGACGCGTGGGAGCGTCCTGCGCGGTCCCGGAGGGGGCTTTTAGCTCCCCYCTCCGCCAAGGAAAAGCCGGGGGAGAAAAAACCCAAAAGGCAAGTGGAGACAGAAGGGCAGGAACGTTCCCGCTCCTGCTGCACCGGGCAGGGAAACAAGGCTCACCCCAAGCGTGGAAACTACGGTTACCCTTCCCCTCAGTGCACCGGGAGGTGACAATTAATTATGTCCCCTTTCCTTCCCCTGGATGCAACATCCTCCCCCGGAACTCAGAGGCGTCTCGCAGCCCCCTGCCCTCGGGGATGCCCGGGAGGGTGAACTCCGGCGTTAAAATCGAGTCCCTCATCCGGGTTCTGCCCTGGATCGCCCGCCCAGCCCGCACCCGGCCCCCTCCGATCCCTCCGTCCCGATGCAAAGGGAAACCCATGGTGTATTTCGTCCTTTCAGCCCCGATGGGCGGTATCGGCTGCTCTCTGACTCTGCACAGCAGAGAGCCCCTGCCCGTGAGAGATGGACAGGAAAGCACCAACAGGGTCTGCATCTCCTGCATCCCCTGCTTCCCACTGCCGGCACATTCCCAAATCCACATTCCCCAATCTGTATCCTCCCCCCAGCCCCTTCCTACCCAGTCTCCAAGGGATGGGCTGGTCCCTGCCCAGGAACCAAGCTCGGTACCTCCTGTGTTTGAGACCAGGCTGATTCCTGATGCAATGAGGAGAAAAGTGATGGACACAGCCAGGGCAGGGGGAGGCCCCATCCAGCTCCAGGCTGTGGGCAAGGACTGAGCTTCCTCAGCCCAGCCAGGCAGGGACAGAAGGGTTTTGTGCCTGGAAGAACGAGGGGATGCCAGAGGGCTGTGTCTCAAAAGGGTTAAATAAACAGCAGGCTCTGCCAAAAATATTTATCTCCTGTTATATGYATGTGGCAGTGGCTCATAGGAAGGGGGGGCTCTGATAGAGGTGGAGGGAAAGTATTTTTTTTTCCCCCTCTTGCTCTGAGATCCTGTTTTCTTCYTTAGCCCTGAAGGATTTAACTGGCATGGGAAATAAAAGGTGTCCCATGGAGATGCTGCCTGTTGCTGTCCCCTACAGATCTGTTCTACTGGGATGCTTCAGTCTCAGCCATTCCTCCAGCCCCTCATGAGCCAAAAATGACTACACAAATCTCCCCTTTTCCTTCAATATTTAAAGGGCACAAAATGCCAAACGCAACGTATGCTTCCCCTCAGGTGGGTAATGTGGCATGTGCCTCACAAAGGTGACCTTTGCTTGTGCAATTTGGACCCAAATAGTTTAAAATTCATTTTTTCTTCCAGGTGGATTTAACAGGATCTCCAAGATATGGAGCAGTCAGGAAATCCTCAGGCTGACAATAGCAGGCCCAGAGAGCACAGACCAGGGCTGCAGCTCCTGCTGCTGGGAATACCCTGTGAGGAATACACCACATCATTTTTTTGCAGATGGGCAAACGGTAGTTCGCCACCCACATTCAAATAAACCCACARATTTTATTAAAATTAAAATAAATCCACATTCATTTTATGCAGGGGACTCTGAGGGTTCCAACTTTGCTCCAAGCCCAGAGCACAGCCCAAGGAGGATACACAGACCTAGGAGGGCTCAGCATCTCTCAGAAGYGAGGGTCTGACCCCACCTGGGGAGTTCTGCAGGAGCTTTGCCATGGGCAGGAGCAGTGGTGACTCAGGACCCAGCCTTGGGTAAACCTTGGTGGGGTTGAAGCCGGAGGGCACCGAGAGGCACCAGCCAGGCAAGRAAAGGCAAAAACCCTTCTGTCYCRTGCAATGGAAACTATTTGCCTGCACAAATTTGCCTGGTGGGCTGATGCTGGGGATGCCAGCCCRGTCCTGGCCGAGTTCTGATATCAAACCACTTCCAGAGCCTTTCCAGTGTCTCCATCGTGCTCCCCGCTGCCATTATGGGCAATAAATGGGGAAAGGAAAAAAAAAAGAAGGCTATTTTGGTATATTAACCTCCTTGTGGCCAGGTGAAAGGTTAAATTCACATGATTCATTGGCGGCTGAGAGACAGCACTTTGTTGCTAGGATTTTGGGGAATGCGGAGGGCTCCAGCGAAGGAGTC